CAGGTTAACAGTCAAGGTTCAAGATGGTACCTTATCTCCATGCCCACTTGTCTTCCTGTCTCTCCCCCTCCCATGAAGCACAGGTCATCATGTTCGTTTGACCACAAAGTTACTTAGAATGGAGGGGCAGAGCACCAAGTATACCTCCTTCAGGAATCCGAGTCATTCCAAGTTTTGAAAATACCAAAGAATTTCTCACTGGATATAAGTTTTATTTTTTTAATTCCCTTAAACTTTTCTGTTGTTTTTCAGGATTGCCTTTTAGCCAATGAAAATAGATCTGATGCAGGAATCAGTAAACCATAAATGTATAACTCACATTGATGAAAATCTTAAAAGTCGTATTTTTAGAAGAGATTTATTTCAGAATCTACAGTGGGTTTGGGACTCCCCCCAAACTCCCAGTGACATTTCTCACACTTTCTTCTAACACCTTTAGTCTTGGACACCACCACCGACACACGGGGTGATGCTATGTATTTGAAGCAGGAGGGAAACATACAAGTCCCTACAGAGAATGCAAGACACATGGAGATAAATTATATAATTTTATTGGTTTGTTAAAAAAAAATGAATGAATTCAGCAAGTACATTTATGGTCTATCCACATTGTTAAAACAGCACTTAAAAATAAAATAAAAATGATTATCCATTATTTACAGGAAACATGAAAACATGACTTTAAGACCTGGAACATTATGGGGAAAAAAACAGGGCATGAGAACGATTCACAAGCTGCCTATATGGATTACAGCAAATGGATTTGAACACGAAATGAGGATTTGTCGTTCTCTGGAGTCTCTTGCTATTGTTTTCCTTTTTGTCTTTTCAGCTTCACTGAGGTATAATCAACAAAGAAAATTGTAAGATATTGAAAGTGTACAGTGTGATGATTTGACATATGTAGACACTGTGAATAGAATCTCTTGCTATTTTATATTTGTTTATAGAAGCTCCATTCATAAATAGACTGTCTTAAAATAAAGGTGGTGAAAATCTCTGTTCTTTTCTTTGCCTTTCACACACTTATTTTTCTGTGAAAACTAAGACTCCTGACAAAGCCAATGTCAACCCATCTTGGGTGCTCACTAATGACCAGCCCAAGGCTCCAAGCCACATTAGCCTGAATTAAACTCAGGGTGATTTCTCTGTCAAAATCAGATGACTGGGAGGTCCCTTTGTTCCCGAAGACCAAAACAAGGAAATGGGCTATAACTTGAGATGAAAACTGCCTTCTGTAACAACCATTTTCATGTCACTTTCTGGATTGGGAACTCTGTTAACTTAATTCAGCCTGGCAGCACCCTGCAGAAAATTACATCCTTGCCCTGTCCAGCAGGGTTCTTAACCTTCCCAGGTGCCCTTGAATAAACCTGACATGGTTTGCAGGTGCTGTAGCTGTGTGAACACAACAGAACACACTCAATAGAATGGCTACCTCTGTCCTAGTTTCCTGGGAGTCCAGTCTGCTGAGTGGCAGAACCCCAAGGGGTCCGCCAACCTTGACCACACAGGAATGGCACAGCACAGGTGGCTGCATGCAGCAACCCTGTGAAGACCCTGGATTTTATGGAATCTGTCTGTTACCTAGAGTCTGGACAAAAGAAGATGAAATGAGCTTCTATCATAGTGGGAGGAAATTAGCTGAAAACAAAGGGAGGAGTTCTAGACAGAAAACAATAGAGCAGGTGAAAGAGGAAATCATCCACTCTCGGGTGGAGGGAGGGAAGAGTTAGTATCGGTCCCGGTTACTGCTTTGATTCCATTTTGCAATGGAAAAAAAAAAAAAATGGTGTGTGCAAAGCAACCAATAAAGCAAATAAAAATAAACTCTCAGTTTGTCATGGAGTCAATTTGGAGTGTTAGAGAGAGAGAAAAGAGCCAAGGTTTTTAAGACAATCAAGAAAAAAATAAAGAGGAGAGGAAAAGCAGGAGTGCCTCCATCATGCTGGCCCTCACTCCTGGCAGTGACCTGAATTCCTGCCTGTACTCCTTGAGCTGTTTACTCCTACAGCTGCTGAATCCTGATGGCCTCTGCTCTGTCTGAGGGGGAGCTGCAAGCCTCAACCACTCTGGGTGTGATTCAGGATTACCTGAAGGACTTGGAGCTGAAAGCAAAGCTCTGGGTTCTGCATTGCGGGCTTGGAGCTGGGATTGTTCACGTCTCATCTCTGCTCCCTACTCTTGGAAAGAAGACTCCGTGGGTCAAAATGAAACCAGTCCCTGCTGGAGACCAGGAGGGAAACTCCTTGAATCCGACTGTCTCTAAAGTATGTGGGGATTCACTTCGCCTGTTGAGAGATGGACCTCCTTTGGCCTCAGACTGATGTATCACATGATGACAGTGGGAGTTTCTTCATCTTTCTCAGCTGCCTTGGAGGGTCTCAGGGGGACCCGATTCAAGATACAGGACCTGAACCACGCCTCTTGAAGATGACACACCTGTTTTTCTTTTACCAATGGCCCTATCGGTATGTTAAGGACATCCATGAAATGGGGCCACGTGCTTTCCCATCTGAACCTGGCTGCCCCTGAGAGGGCCAAGCGACATGAACACTGGTGAAAAGAAAGTCGTGTCAGACAAAACAGGAAGTAGGACTCACTAGGTGCCTCTGGCCATGTGGAAGTGGGGCCCACTGGGGGATTAGGGGAAAGCATTGCTACAAGAGAGTTCCAGGCAGGGTGAGAGAGCCAAGGTCCCAGCTAGCGAAGCTATAAGACAGCCCCAAATTAAGTGACATGCTGCAGATCCCTGGGTTGCTAAACTCAACGGTACTAAAGCGCTCGACGGCAGTGCCAGGAAGTGTGTTAGCAAAGGCAAGACGGCGGGATACGTTAAGAGAACAATGATCTTGCTTTAAGACCAAAGTAACAAACTGGCAGCCCACAGACATGTTTTGTTGGCCTACATAATGTTTTAAAAATAACTGAGCCAAGTTTTTAAAAATAGGGACATTTCAGATAAAATGTCCAGGTTTCAAGTTTCTCTTAAAGAATCAGAAGGTTTGGAAATTTGGGCCTATCCCTGGGAGGCACGAGTTGGCTGGGTCTAGGTGACAGCTGCCCCACTGGAGCGGAGGGTGTTCACTTATCCAGCCCACGTTGTTCATTTAGGGTACCTGCCTCAAACTGAAATGCCACAGCCTTGTTGGAGGGTGACAGACTTGATTTCAGCAAAACTGCCGCCTTTCCTTCTGTAATGCTGAAAAAATGCACAATACGTGCCTTTAGGAAGCTCGAAAAAGATTCCTTACAGGGAACATCAAAAGCAAAGGATGACAGAGGTGGTCTGGAGTATAGAAATGAGAAGCTGGGTTACTGATTGAGATCTTCAGGGATTAAAAAAAAAATGAAAAGAACACAAGACCATACGAAACCATTTTCCAATAGCCTGATGCTTCTTTCATCGTTCCCTAGGAGATGTCAACTGCTTGTTGATAGATTCAATTGCCTTATCTGTCCACTTTTCTCCATTTTAAAACAAAAATCTACCCTGCAATTCTTTCAGCTGCTGAGGGCAAATATTCTTTTTTTTTTTTTTTTTTTTTTGGGTTTGGG